ACTGGGTAAACATCGTAATCTACAAAGCTAACCAAAAATATGTTAACATAAATCTTATGAATAATTTCGTCATTAGGGAAATCAGCAACATATGTTTACCGCATATTTACTACCTGGCGACAATTTATGTCAGCTGAAAAATGAAAAACAGCAATAAGTGACAGACAACACAGCTCAAAACTGAGTAATAAATTTAAATTTCAGTCACTTCACTGATTACCTCGAGTTTCCCCTCAATTAGTTCCTTCTACAGCTGCCATCTCATGTCTAGACTCTCATTTCGCAACTTCCGCCTTGACTATATTCAGTAGAAAGAACCAGGCCTTAATGGGGTTGTTCTAGGACCCTATTGGCTCAGTAGAACTTCCTCGTTGCCTAATTTATTAAAGAGGGAATAATTGCAAAAAAAGGTTTGGAAAAAGGTCTCTTTTTCAATCTCACAAATGGTGGTCTACATATATTACTTAATAAAAAGATTATTTATGACGTAATCTCTGACATAGAAGCAACGATTCCTATTGGAGGGATCCGTACCTGAGGCTTTCAGTCAGTGAAGTCAACTGAAATATTCATGACGCTGAAAGACTGGGCGCTGTCCAGTCAACATCGGTTTTCCATACCTCTTGGAGACAAATTAGGCATTGGAAATAGAACATCTGGTGATTACCTCTTTCTCTGGCTCTTTTGAATAAAACTCTGTATACTGTACCATAAATCTGTCGTACTGTACCTATTCGGTATGTCGGTCGTCATCCTCACAGAGGCATTCTATTTACAGTGGAGCAGCTCCGGCTCTCAACTCTGAATGGGCTTGCCCTAGGGAGAATGGAACTATAAAGAGGCAGAACTCCGCTAACACCCCTTTCTCACTCCTCTCTTCAGTCTCCTTGTGATTGCCTTCTAATGTAAGTCTAAATCATGACAGTAGAGGGAGTATCCAGTGGACTCGTCAACTTGGAAAGCAGTTTTGAGGTAGACTGCCGGTGCAGGTTATGTATCTTCCCCCTGCTATAACTCGAGCTGTTCCCATTCACTCATTCCATTTCATTGACTATTGGCGACATCTTCCCCATAATGAAGCAATTTTCCCACATTTCACCTTGGGAAATGCTTCTGCTCCGCTCCATCTTCCTTGGCTGACAGTACTGGGACTTCCACATCTGTCCAGAGCATTTCCGATCAGTTTTCATTATGTCGGATGAAAATGACTGTAGTGATTCTGAGAAAAGGTTGAGGTGCAGGGACATCGCCGACAATGACCTAATCCAAAGAGTTCTCCGTAGATGTGTTATTCGAAATCAGCTCCGCTAGATAGGCATTGTAGCGAAGGTGAAGTTACCGTACTCCTCTTTGTGAATAGATTTTTTTGTGTTTTTTCTTTGTCTGATTTTTCCCGTAAATCTTTTTATTCTAGGCCTTTCTCGCTAGCTGATTAGTCTTTAATACCATCGTTACTTGTACTTTTACGCTGATGGGACGAGTTTATCCAACCAAAAACCCTTATTCTGCCACTTTCCAACTCCATTTCGCCAGTGCAAAGCCAAGCCTCAGAGGCGAAAGTTTTTTCTCAGTACATAGTCTGCATAGTCAATCCAATCGTAAATTATACACTTAATCACCATGAATCTACATCGCGAACCTACATTTTGAAAATTGTTTTTGAACTTGATTATAACCCATGTTGGACTCTCCATGAATCTCGGTATTTCCTATTCAATAGCCCTTTTTCAAAGTAATTCGGCTTCAGGCCATGATTTATAATAACGATTTATTCCGCTTTACATTTCAGCATTATCGCATTATTTGGAGCCTTGGAGGCTTGTGCTTTTGAACTCGTCCAAATCCCATTCTAATCTGCAAAAGTCTTTTAACAGGGTAGCAAGTTGAGAGGAAGACGTAAGAAAGCTATGGAGGACCTTTAAAAATACCTTTACCTTTGAAAATAGTTTCAGCCGCTTTACAAATGCCCCAACTTTTAGCCAATACCTTCCGATACCTTCCTGGCAAGTGCTACTCACGAACAGTTGCACCCTTAGCGATGGAGGGCTGCTCAGAAAGTAACGAGCTGGAGCTGAACGTGCACAATAGGACAAAACGCTTGGCGGATGACCCGACTAAGGTGGACACCAGGGCTTAGCAAAGTCACTCAGTCGTTTCTGTTATGGAAGGTGATTTTGCAGCATGGGCGGAGTGGTGCTGAGGCGTGGGAAGGAGTTTTCAGTATCAGTGAGTACCTGAACACCTCTGAGGTGAGGCTCACAGGACTCTCATTTGTCACGTTCCCTTGTATGCATCATAGGTCATGTATCTGGCTTGCCAAAGTGGGAACAAATGGCTTTCCATGCAACGCAAATGGGAACGCTCGTTGGTGCGTGGGTCTATCACGGTTAATGACTAATGTCGACGTTGGCAACTACATGGGAACTTTAAGAGATCTGTTCTGGGAAAGTGCAACAGACGGTGTTCCGTGAGTATTAAGTGGTACGTGCTTGAAACAAAGCCGTGTTGCCTTGACCATTTGGGATAAACCTCCCAGACCTTGTGGGTAAAGAGTATGATTGTTGTCACCATCCACGGGGCGGGCATGGCTGACAAGCCATGCCCACACCGTGAATGGGGACAAGGGTTATCTGCTAGTCTGTTTCTCTTTGCCAGATATTTAGAACCCGTATAGATGTGGGTAGGGAGTAGGGGTGCCCAAAACCGTCCACTTTCATTCCCAAGCTCAACTTCGATGTCATCTCCGACTACGTGCGGAAGTGCGTGTGTCGATAATGCATGATTTGACTGATCGTATAAAAATGGCTCAAGTTGTTGACAAACTTATTTGTATCGCCTAAGATCCAATCATCTCTCATTAGTAACACAGAACATTACAAGCTTGACTGGATTGCAATGCTACTAATATGGCTAGTAGTGCATGAAGTATACTGTCACTACAAGCCTCTGAAGATCATTAAGTAGTCTAGCCTCGTTTATCGCCTTCGGTGATTCGTTAAAGCGTGAAGTACGTTTTTTTTTCGTCGGGGTAGGATTCTTAGAGGAATTTTTTTTCATCTTCGTCACTAGTCAGAAGGGCATCTGCGTAGAAAATCATTGCCAGTATCCCTGGCCGTCACTCATCAGACGGTTATTCAAGTTATGGCTATGACTTTTTTTGTTGGGGCCGTAGTTTGATGGACAAGAATTTCGTGCCGACTAAACACCGCTGAAGCTCTATTTCCATTCAGCACCGCTTCATCTCATACCGATAACTAATTCCTCTCTCTGAGTATTTCTGAGTAACTTTCCTCTGAGTAATACATAGTTCCTAAGGAATGTCAATGGATAGGAAATTCAGTGTTGCATGTTCAGATAGAATCCGAAATGGCAGAAGAATCATCGATCACTCCTATATCAACAATCCCATTGCGCCTCTTGCGAATTCTTTCCCACTGTTTTCAATTTACTTTCTGAATTACTCATTGTTTACTTCCCTATTTTGCAAATAATCATAATGAAAACCCTGCAGGAGGTTTTGCCATACTATATTTAGACATTCTTCGCTTGGCTATTCCTTCGATGACCATGATAGCATATTATAAGGATAAAAGGTGAAGTTCTCTAGCATTGATTAATCCCGTTTTGCGGTTGAATACGCCCAACATTCGATCTCCACTGTCAATCGCAGTATCTTTTGAATGCGTATGTGGCCTGTACAATGGCTTGCGGGTGGACAACCGATGCATGAGTCAGTGCTTTTGTCCTCCCAGACCGGTCTAGTACAGATTAGTCGACTCCGAAGGGTTGGCAGACTCAATTGGTCTAGGCGAATGTCGATCCGGGATTCGAACCCGTGACTATGCGTGTGTGGTAGGACCACCGCTACCCTACTGAAGGACTAGAATAAAGTCTCTTGGTGAAATTCAATTCCATTTTGTTGACGCGCTTCGCCACATCTTCGATTAAGAATTGTAGTGGAGCTTCAGATGCGTACGTGGCCCATACAATGACCTGTGGTTAGCCAGTGTTCAAGTCAGTGTTTTTATCCTCTCACTCATGCCTGGCACCAATTAACCGATCCCGAGAGGATGAGAGTTTGATTGACCTTTCCGAGAACTGATATCAACCTAATATCATTGAATAAAAAGAGAAAGTGTGAATGCTGCCGACAATGACGATGCCCTTTCGAGGATGCCCCATGGCATTTGAATGGTACTGGTTTTTAATGATTAGAAATGCTCCCTCTAATGATCCCTTCATTGATATATTTACAGAGTTCCGTACCAGATCCACCATGTGATCTTGAGGAAGTCAAAGGGGATTTAGAGAGGTCAGAAACATATGTGAAGGGCTACTCGAAATGCCATGCCCTTTATGTGAAATTTTACCGTATAATTTAAGTTCAGTTGACTTTAATGTTTCAAAACTATGAGAGTGAATGTCAGGGAGTATTTTATTTCCTAAAACAAAACCTTGAATGAAATTCGATTTATAGTTCTTATGGGAATTTACCAATGGATTTCTACGAAACTCCCCCATATAGTTCCATCGTATAGGGGCCGGTGTGGGAGATTGCACATGTGCACTTGTTTTCTGTTGAAGTGGCATTAATGAGTTCTATGAGGTAAGCAAACGACTTCCATCTTCCTTCGCGGTTCATTACGGGCTTTGAGCTTGATATCACCTTTTCACCATTAGTCATTCTCGTCATGCTTTGCAACCTACACTTTACCTGATCTTTACTCTGATTGCAGTCACTGAATCTGTTATTTCCTTGTGAAGATCAACTATTCCATAGGCAAGGACAGCTGTAGCAGTGTTTTCGTTTTTATATGGATTAGCTTCGTTTCTTGAAGATTTGCTGAGATTTTTCCTTGATTTCGATGGCGGAGGTGGTGTAGTGACGAGTGGCGCACTTTCTTGCACGAATGGCCATGGGTTTGAATTCCGGATTGGTTTCTGTCGATGCCTACGCCACCAGGTCTTCAATGCCTCCTCCTTGGTCGGCTAATTGGTACCAGACTCGTGTGGGAGGATAAAAGCAGTGGCTAGAATATCGGTTGGCAGCAAGTCTTTGTATAGGCCAAACGCGCATTCATGTCTCCACTACGATTCTGAATGGAAGTCGAATGGAGGGCGCATCTCTCAGACAGGATTTATTAATGCCCAGTAACTTTTTCCTTATCTTCCTCCTCGATTTCAGTCTTAGAAAGCTGCTCGACACAGTTACTGTAGGGCATTTCTCACTCATTACTTTCAGCAATCTTTGAATTGTTATGTCGTTACCGTATAGGAAGCGAAGAACTTGACCATTAACAATTACAGTAATTTCAAACG